TCAACTCTTTATTTAATTTCAAGCACTTTTTATAGAATGACTTTTTCCCTTAAATTACACCATTTCCAAGAAAATCGACAGGATAAAAACGTCGCTGTACCCAATGACGTCATCAAAGCTATAGATACTCTATGAAAAATTCCAAGATGCCCGAAATGCAAACACCTCCTTTTTTTTCTCTATGCCGAACGAGAGGTGTTCTTGTTCTTTGATATACTAGTGTTTTGGTGAGTAATGTATGTTTTAAAAATTTATCGTGTAAATTATCCCAGCTTCACTTTCACTCGTTCCTCCTTCCGTTTCTGTAGTTTAGGTAAGTATACTTTCATTCATTGAGTACTTCTAACTCTCATTCCGTCTTATATACCATGTGTTTACAATATGATTGCTTGATTTGGTTATCCTACATCCTTCTTCAATTCTAATTTCACTAAATTAAGGCCAAACTCTAAGTTGGATAATGGAAGTTCCTTAATGATTCACTATCCGAAGCGCAGAAAAATTGCACCAAGACAGGTAGGTTTATCTATAATGTATTGTTAAAGAAAACCAGTAGCAGAGCTTGCGCATTGTATATTGAGACAAACGTCAAAGAACTGTTTATGTCGCCACTCACAAGTGGTGCCACCTGACTGCACGTATTAACCTGTTGATTGGTGCGAAATCAGAGCTAATTGGAAATTGATGTTTGTCTCAAAATACGATGCGCGAGACTTACTTACATAGAGCTTGCGCATTGTATGTTGAGAAAAATGTCAGTATCCGATTAGCTCTGAATTCGCATTACTCAATGGGTCACTAAACCATGAACGAATTTTGACTTATGAATATAGTTTTCTGAAGGAAAATGACACGTAGAACACGATACGCACATTGAATACGCAAACCAGTAACTCACTTACCGAGAAATGCGCAGTTCAAATCGCTCAACTTATACGCAAATTTAAAATGCCCCGGTTTCGCGCTGCACCGAATGATGTAATCCGGTACCAATCAGAGGCAGGCACGGGTTTCCACGACGTTCGTCAAATGTCTATCTACTCTTCGTATATGAGAACAACAGTAAAGTCGAAATTATATATTTTGAATGCAAGACTCGAATCTCATTCATATGTTAGCTGTAAAAAACAAGCAACAATTCCACATTGAAATACGTTTTATTTTCACAAAAATCAGATGAAAATGAGAGAAGATTGTGTTATGACAACCGCAGTACATCAACCGCATCAGTTTTCCGCCATTCGGGTGCATTTGAAATGTCTTGCAGCTTTTAGATTTTTCCAAAGCGGTATTCTCCGTGATTTTGGCTCCATGAAAATACGGAAAAATCACCACGTTATCTCCTCACACATTAGTTTCAGAATATTCAATAAAATAAACAAAGTTTAAGTAGTGACCCATTGGTTCATGCATGTAGTCAGGTGGCACCACTGGTGAATGGTGACATAAACAGTACTTTGACGGTTGTCTCAACATATTATGCGCGAGCTCAAGTTGTCCACTGAGGAAGAAAGATAATTACGTAATTTTCAGCTTGTATCGGTAATTAGAAAGAAGAAAGTTACTAAATTTCCAAAGGCTCCACACACTCCTTTTGGGGATGTGTACTTTGATTGATTTTTATTTTTTTTTAAAAAATCATGTTTGCCTATGGATGCTGATCAAAAGTCATCATCGCGCCAACTATCTTTCAACGTTTCTACAGAATACGTGTTTGTAGTTTCGGTAATTTCCAGGACAAATGCAGTGCGTGTCTGTCTGGTTAGGACAATAGTGTGGGAGAGAGAAAGAAACTGATTTTGATGGTGGCAAGAAAAGGCGTGTGGAGTCCGAGCTAAGACTGTCGCACCGCTGCTGATCGGTTTTCCTGTTTCCGCGACTTATATTCACCTGACTGGCCCAAACCGTAGTGGATTTGCTGCACTACCTTCAACTATGCAAGGAATTATCGAAAAAAAAATTCCACAGATTGTGTGAAAACGGTAACCCATAGAAAATTGGCGTAATGATAACTTTTGATCAGCATCCATAGACGAACTTGATTTTATGAATAAATTGAAAATCAATCATGGTATACATCCCCATAAGGAGTGTGCAGGGACCTTTGATATTACTGTAGGAACGTACTTTAAGAAATGAAGGAGGGTGCAGATGTTAATCACATCCCTCATCTTAAATGTGATTCCAGTTTTTGCCGTTGTTGTGAATGGAGCTAATGTGATGTTAATCTAAGGAATGACCCGACTACTTTGAGGTTCTCACCCCTTCTTGTGCTGACCTGAGAGGGTTCAGTCTCTTTAACTATCATCCCTGCAGGGGAGGGGGGGCAGCGTTGCAAAATAAAATCTTAAAATTTCACGTGAAATATTTCATGAAATTTCAGAAAAATATGAAAAGTTGTGAAAAATTAGATGTTAATGAAGTATTTTCATCCCCAATATTGAGTAACTGGTGATGAAAAACAAAGTGCCACTGCTTACTTCTCAAAGTTGCATTACAGCCAACTGTATTAAAAATGGACGTATTTCTGCCAAACGGAACTATGTGTATTAAGACGTGAGCCCTGAGACCCATAAGAATACATGCAAAACAGGGCTCACGTCATAATGCACATAGTTCCGTTTGATAGAAATACGTCCAAATATCATAAAACTTACAAATTAATAACTGTTTTTTGATTGATTGATTACTCAAATAAATTAAAATCTCAAACAGGTATGTAGATAGATAGGCCATACATAATTATACATATAATTGTAATTCAAGAAAATTCTTGCGGGGGGAGGGGGAAGCCATTCGAGGGCCGAGGGTAGAGAACAACTTCCACAAAAGGGAGAAGGAAATTTTTTTAGAAAATTGGGGAAATATAACTTTTTTTGGACCTTATGTGATTCCTGCTGAGATTAATATTGTTAGATTATATTTTTATTTGTATGTGGATGTTGTAAGATTCTGGGAACAGAATCCTTCCCAATGGCACCCTTCAACGATACTAGTGTTTTTTCATGACATTTTCCGCAAGAACCTTCATTTTAAGACAAAAAAGACTGACCCGGTGCTCTTCCTTTGTCAGATTTCCAATTAGAGCAAAGACAGGAACTATATTTTTTTGCTTGAATTATATATTTGCTAAGTAAAAGTATTGATATCAATATTATCTGTCGATTTGCGGCGAGGAAATCAAATTTTTCATATTTTTCACAGGTTTGTGAAAGGACTACGTGAAAAACGGGCCATTTGGAGCTCGGGCCGGATACCTTTGAGACTTGCCCTATTCATTCACCTAACAATGCCCCATCTTTTCCCAAAGTTTCAAGCCCCCCAAAAATTTTGGGGAGACACGGCGGGGGGTCATAGTTAAAAACCGGCAAAATTTTGGCGAATTTATCACTCGAAAACCAAGAAGTTTTGGAAAACGCGGTTTAAACAAGCGTATTCAGCGTGACGAGAGCTTTCAGAAAATGTAGAACATCATAGGGTCTTGTCAACTTCAGCTCGAGTTATCGCCTCCGAAGCGCCGGAACGCTCAAAAAAGACCTCTTATTTTTTCACGTTTGGGCCGATTTAAAAAAAGCCATTTTTTTATTTTGACGAAAAACTGATATCGTCACCTTCCAGGCAAAGTATCACAAGCGCCATGCGACGTTTAAAAATTTCCGCCGCCATTTTATTTTTTTACAGAGAAATTGTTCAACGAAGCTGTCCGAAAATTTCACTGAATTTTCTTTGTGCTGCCGATAAAATTTAGTGAAATTTCCAATCAGATTCAACCAACAATTTCTGTTTTTTGTTTTCTTTTTTTTTTCGTTGATCGGAGGGAAAACGTCCCCTCCCACTCAGTTCGGCGAATCACACTCCTCTGCCGACCTCGCATTGTCGCCACATGTCTCCTGATCCGTCGCCGCGCGCAGTTTAAAATAGCCGATTTTCCCGACCTTCGTTCCTTTCCGCTCTTATAACTCGCGAGCAAAACATTCCCCCAGCATGCGGTAAAGAGCTAGAGGGGCCACAGAGAGGCAGGAACAACATATCAGTTTTTCGTCAAAATAAAAAAATGGCTCTTTTTAAATCGGCCCAAACGTGAAAAAATAAGAGGTCTTTTTTGAGCGTTCTACATTTTCTGAAAGCTCTCGTCACGCTGAATACGCTTGTTTAAACCGCGTTTTCCAAAACTTCTTGGTTTTCGAGTGATAAATTCGCCAAAATTTTGCCGGTTTTTAACTAAGACCCCCCGCCGCGTCTCCCCAAAATTTTTGGGGGGCTTGAAACTTTGGGAAAAGATGGGGCATTGTTAGGTGAATGAATAGGGCAAGTCTCAAAGGTATCCGCCCCGCGCCCCAAATGGCCCGTTTTGCACGTAGTCCTTTCATGAAAAATTTCAATGAAATTTCCAATCTTTCATATTTTTCATTTCACGCTTGCAACCANGGGGGGGGGGGGGGGGGAGTTGTGAGGGATGCAAGATCTGAAGAAAAGAAAGGCAGAAGGCGCAGTGCCACAGATAGGTAGGGGGGTGCAAAGACTCCCAGGTATGCCACTGAGAGGGTTATTATCAGAAGGGTGATTTCACGATATCAGGAATAGGTAAAATGTGCAACACCTTGAAACTAAAAGTGCACGAATTTTAACAAGATTTCATTAGATGCCTCATTTTAAAGGTATTTAACTTCCTCTCTCCAGCTTTGGCACAAACTCTTTGAATTCAGTACAAAGTTATAGTGATAGATAAACCATTAAATCAGGTATCAGCGCTTCTCGCGGGACTGCTAGAGGTCCTTGCAAACATGGCGGTTTAACCTTATTAAGGCAAAACCTTTGTTGATCTAATTCTTGTACAGTACAAGTAAGGGCCGGGTTGACCGGCGAGGCGCCCTCAAGGGGCCAAGGCAACTGGCAGGAACCCTGCCGTCGTATTCTTGTACAGTACAAGGAATATTAATAAGTAATAATTAGCCGCCAATATCCGCTAATCTGTAAAAACTCTCCATTTGAGTGACAGGAAATCGCGCCTACTGGGAACCTATCCAGCTCTTATGTCATAAATTAAATCGCGCATCCCCGCAATCTCGGTAATTTTGCAACTGATTACTGATTTTGACTGATTTGTTGATATTTTGACGAGGAAATAACCTTTTGATAATCTCTAAAGCTAATTTGATAAGTTTTATACTGTACGATAAAGTTTAAGGTGTACGTTTTGTGCATTGCATATTTTGCCAGTCCTGTTTCTTGAAAATTGTCACCGACATACTAACCTAGAACTCTACCATGAGCTTCATACAAATCAAAAATCGGTACGAGATTTGTGGGTTGAAAAAGAAGAGATGTCATGAATTTTTTCCTGAGGTACTGGTCCTTCTCAGAGGTTCTTTAAAGGATCAGAACCGGCATGATAAATAAACCTCTCCAAACTCCATAGAACAAAATGAAAGATAATATACACGGATTTTTCTTACTGCTCATTCCATTTTTTATGTCTCATGGTAAGTACCAATAATATCTTCAAGGGTGACTCGATAAAAAGAAGCGATAGTATTTAGATATCATCTTTTTTATTATTCATTTAATATATTTTTATATTTTTTGAAATATGCATATTTATTGAATAACTGAAAGAGTGGGGAGTTCATGAAAATGAAAACTTCTATTGACCGGCTGGAGGAAAAAAGAGGAGAAAAGAACATTGTCAGAATGTTTCGTATGTATCAGCATCTATGCAATTGCGAGAAACTAATTAACATGAAAGAATAACGATATTAGATGAAAATATAGGAAATCTGGTAGCCTTAGTGGTGAAGGGACTGTGAAGCCCCCCCCCCTCCCTCATCACTCCTCAAGTAATGTCTTTGGGTCAAATTTTGCAAAATTCTTGCTCATGTAAGCAGCTCATGGTCCCATATGAAAAGACCTCTATAGATCATCAATGTGAAGCCGGTAGAATCATCATTGCTGAGAGTTGTTTAAGAGACGCTTAGTAATACCAGACATAAATGCATATAAATATGATTTATCAACAATAGGATTTAAAAAAGGGACATTTAAGTTCAGCCTAATACAAGGCACAATTTACACAGACAAACAAGTCACACGAAGAAAGAAAGATAAAGCCCTCATGAAAAACGTTATCCTAAACTTCTTCAACACTTTTCCGGAATCCTTAAGGTCATTATTGGAAAATAAAGGATCTAAAGAAAAATTTAGCCTTACTCTCGAAGAGACACTTTTAAGCTGTCGTAGGTGTACAATTGAAGACTTTACAGAAAATTTATCTATGTACCCTAAAATGTCAGATAATCCAGCCTCTTTTGTGATAAAATTTCTTCTTATTACACTTTTCCTCACTTCCAATAAAGTTATGTACAATGTAAATGTGATACTGTTTGCAATATAAATATGAAGCGTACTTATCTAGCCTGTAAAAAAATGAAACAATTTCTAATTTCTAAAACTGAAAATATGTACACTTGATTGACTAAAAATGTATAGGATATGCAATTACAAGCCTCAAAAACAGCCTAACTTCACTTTTTCAGCGCCTTGACCCGAGATTCCCGCCAAAAAAGCGAAAAATCGCATTTTCTCCAAAACGGCCGAACTACAGATTTCGCGGTTTGTTGTTCCTCAATCAGTAGGCCTTCTACTTGACATTTCCGGAAAAAAATCTCGAGTGGTATGTTGACCACATTAAGAGTATTTAAAATGCAGTGTGCCAACTGATGATTGATGCATTTAGACTGATGTGACCTTTGTCTATTCATTTCTTTCCCCAGTTCTAAAGCAGCAACTTTCAGTTGCCAACGAAATCTATCTTCTCATTGATCAGTAGGCAAATGACACCTTCTGATTTCTTTCTGTAGCCCTGCCGCTAGCCTTTTACTGTTCATGGATACTACCCTCTTCTGAGTGGAACCAATCTGAACACTTGTCCAGGCAGCTTACTATCTGCCAGTCTCTACACACTTCCGTACCGAACCAGTTGTATGGTTTTGATACCTGGGTGAATTCAAATAAGGGTCTAATTCCCGGTTCTATTTCCCTCCAAAATTTTTTTGTGAATTTTTGGGAGAACCAAACTTAATTTTAACTATTATTAGGTGTAGAATCAGGAAATATAGCTCGTCGAGCTTAATGGTTGGGTTTAAACCCGAATTTCGACCGTCAAGTGTATCAATTCCTAAAATTTGCTGAAATTTTGCCTGATTTCTCCAGTTTTAGTCTCGAAGGTGATATTTAACATCTATCATTGAAAATTGACTAAAATATTCATTGAAGCATTGTTGAACACGATACCAAAGCATAATTTGTGGAATTGAATCATTATACATCTTACGGAATTGAGAAAATGAGAGAAAACTTGATCGAATATGATACAGATGTGAGGCTTATTTTGCTGTTTTGGGACATTTCTTTCGGTCCGAGTGCGCAATTAACCTTCTTTGACAGGGAAAAAAGATTAAGTTCTTGGAAAATTGAAATAGAAAGTGGATGAAAAATAGAAGATTCCTTCGACCTCAAGCAACAATTTTAACTCCCCGGGGACCATTTAGTATACCCCGCAAAATGAAGGAGTTTTCAATGGAACCAGTAAGAAATTCTAGCCTCAACAGTTTAAAGCCTGGTCTCCAATGGACGCCGCAGCCTTTCGTTAGGCAACCCATTCCAATCTTTAAGCTTGACGCCACAAACTGAAAACTGTCCAACTTTTGCTGATTTTGTCACATTTGAAACATCCGTGTAAGAACTTACAATGTTTAACATCGCTCCCCTCCGGCAAACGCAAGCCGTGTTGCATCCATCAGAAATCAGGCTAGCTGAGAGTACCGCGTGCACCATGCAGCTTTCACAAGTTCCCTTCTACCTCAAGCAACTATTTGAACTCTCCAGAGATGAAATTGCATACTCAACGAGCTGAAGGAATTCCGAGTGAATCCTCTGACTCCATCATGATTCATACCCTAACAATCTAGTTCGGAGTGCTGCGTGCCGATGCCAGCAGTTTTATTTGACCTCCAGTGACTGTTTAATGGTCAAGAGATCAAATGGACTGAGTTAGGCAGAAAGTAACCAACCCATATTTTAGAAAAAATTGAGATTTGAGTGGTTTTGAACTCAACCACTGTACTGCTCTACTATCTATCGCCAAAAATTCAGAGTTTTTGTTGGAGCAAATTTTGCAGAAATTGAACTTGAAGTTTATCTTTAACATTGAGTCTTATGCAGGAGCCAAACTTTAAACCTCTTTTTCTCAGTTCGATCCCGATGTGGCTTAGTTCCTTTCTGTTTAACTCCGTCCAAATGTCATTCCAAAAAAGTGAAGAAATTGTCTTTCGGTATACGTTTACTGATGAGCCATCCATTGGCTGATCGGTGAACAATAATTGCGATTTATATCAAAGAAATTGAAAAATGAAATAAAGATGATCAGTATATTTGAAATATTACAAATATATTATAATTAATTATATTAATTATACAGGGTGGCCCAGACCTACCGTACCAGGCCTTTTTTTCGGTTAATTTGGGTCGCATGAAGTCCAGGATCGCGGTGATGAATAGGGAATCGACCCCAAGGAATCCCAATTTCATGGTCCCAGAGCTCCCCTGGCGTCCCTTGGGGGGTAAAAGGGGGATCCGTACTTCGAAAGTTAGGGTTCATGTCAAAATTCTGAAATTATTTCATCGGAATCAGAACGTACGGAAAATTTTAACTTTAATCGACACCAAGAAATCCAAAATCGGCCCATTCGTGTCCAAAATACCGACCCCTAAAGGTGGGGGACAGAGCCCCCTTTCAAAAAAATTCAAGTTCGTTAAATTGACGTGGAGACTCGGAAAAAATGTGTATTCATGGGTAATCGACCCCAAGGAATCCGAATTTGAGGGTCCCGTTGGCCTCAGAGACTTTTCTGATGGGGCACAGGGGTAACCTCCACACCGGTAAAGAGTCCCCCTGTGCCCCATCAGAAAAGTCTCTGAGGCCAACGGGACCCTCAAATTCGGATTCCTTGGGGTCGATTACCCATGAATACCCATTTTTTCCGAGTCTCCACGTCAATTTAACGAACTTGAATTTTTTTGAAAGGGGGCTCTATCCCCCACCTTTAGGGGTCGGTATTTTGGACACGAATGGGCCGATTTTGGATTTCTTGGTGTCGATTTAAGTTAAAATTTTCCGTACGTTCTGATTCCGATGAAATAATTTCAGAATTTTGACATGAACCCTAACTTTCGAAGTACGGACCCCCCTTTTACCCCCCAAGGGGCGCCAGGGGGCTCTGGGACCATGAAATTGGGATTCCTTGGGGTCGATTCCCTATTTATCTCCGCGATCCTGGACTTCGTGCGACCCAAATTAACCGAAAAAAAGGCCTGGTACGGTAAGTCTGGGCCACCCTGTATTAATTATATTGTTTATATTAATTAATTTAAAAATTAATATTATTTAAAATTAAAATTAATTGTATATTATAAAAATGAATCTGGAAGAGCTCTGCACTCCGGATCTCCTGAAAACAAAAATAAGAATTAATCATATTAGGTCTCAGATGTAAGCAAATTGTAATTCAATTATAATTATGATGTACATTTTATCATTCAACAATTCCATTTATTCTTGATTCCAAGAGGAGAAAAAAATAGATAGATGGAGTAAAGAGAAGCACAGAAAAAGAGAGATGATGGGCAGCAGTTTGTCTTGTAAAGTCATTGAATTTAGTGATTTTAACATTCATTTTATACGGAAATGCCGTGTTCAGTCCTGAAACCAATATTCATTAGTCACTATTGCAGTATTGAACTGAAGAAAAATTGATTCAAAAGGATAAGGAAAGTCGCGAAAAGGATTCAACTCGCCCCTCTTGACAACATTCATTGAGTTTTGTCACAGTAATTTTATCAATTTTACTAAATTTTGAAAAATCAAAGAATGAGGAACTAACTATCAACTATGTTTAGTACTTAACTTTGATAAGCTCATTAAAAAAACTTAAAATTGTTGAAATGGGAAGAACTGACAAAAATTTTTATATTTTTCAGCACTCTCAATGACATGATTATTCATGGACCGAGTTTAGCTGGAAAGAGCCTACTTTTAATTATTATTTTACAAACATCAAATCAATTGCTTTCCCTGTAAAAATAGGAATATACTTTTAAATAAATTTCTATGTGATCAGTTTCATTTTAGGAAACGCGGCGTATGAAAAGGTCTATCAACTCTGAGCATGCATTATTATAAAGCAACTGGGGATAATATGGAGTATTACTCATTTCAGGAAGAGTCTCTATTCCGTGGATTTACTCATGAACTTGGGATTTTGGGATTTTTTTTTTTTCCGGGTTGTCTTCCTAGGGGCTTGGTTGGAGGAAGCAGAGGCAAGCTGTTTGGGGATGACCATGGGGCTATCTAAGTTTATAAAACTGTTAAGAAAAATTTGCTGAAATCAAAAAAAAGTTTTTCGTTCCCCTCCCGACAAACCAAGGCAAGAAAAAATGTGAAAGACAGAAAAAAAGAAACAGCTAGTATAGTAGGTAAATGATCTGAAATCAAAAGAAAGTTTTTTGCCCCCCTCCCGACAAACCAAGGCAAGAAAAATGTAAAAGACAGAAAAAAAGAAACAGCTAGTATAGTAGGTAAAGGATACGAGGAACACTGAGGTGCGTCTGGATGAAGGGTTGGCCATTGCCAAGTGGAAAATGGGAGCACTTTGAGGAACCTATGCAAATTGTGCAAGATAAAGCTCTTCTGCCTAGTTCTTCAACTTTATTCCTGCACCAGGTCACTTGTCGTAAAGCCATAGTGGCGGGAACAGTGGCAAGTGATATTGGAAGGGACGCTTCAACTTTTTCAATGTCCTCTTGAGGAATGATGAAGGTTCCTACATTGACACCTGAGGTTGCCTCGACAAAAGTTTTGGCATCAATTACATCGAATTTTCGGCAGTGAAGTGCAAATTCTGCGGTTCTCTTTATGGTGCCCCCCACTCCATCTGCCGCTCCCTTACCGTGGCCAGGTTCAGAAAAATTCCAGGTAGCCTGGTATATTTTCCTATCGATACAACATTTTTGAAATAAAAAAAAAATTGTACTTGTTTCGGTATTGGGTCGTTGGCCCATCACTGAAAAAATGGATGATTTCGATGGCCTCGTGATCTTTTTTCAACATGTCGAGGACTGGCCCTAAGTGCGCCCAGATCGCAGGTGCATCGTGGCGGCAACAATTTGAGACAGTGCAGAAGGGAATTTGTTTTTCACCTCCTTTTAAATAAATTACACCAGTATGCAGGGAGACTTGTTGCTGTGACGCACCAAAATGCCGACTTTGGACCTCCTCCTCATACTTCGTAGCAAAATTCTGGGACCAATCTATTATTATGGCACATTCATTACCTCTTAGTTGCTTCAGGATATCTTTGAAAAAATTGTTTTGATGGTAATCAGTATAAGTAAATGTGTCTCAGAAAAAGTGGTAAACTCTCGTTTAATATTTCGATCAAATTCTCTCCAGCGTCTCTCTTTCTCTCTTTAACAGTAATTTTACTGACTCCACTATTCGATGTTACTTCGCCCAGTTTTTTCTGGATCCATTGATCATATGGTAGTAAATGAGGGCTTTTGATTATCGTTTGATTTATCACAGATGAAGGTACAACTTTCACATTGCATTCTTTACATTCGCCGAACATACAAGATTTAATGTTTGTTTTACAAGAAACTTCAGATACAAACTCGCTCACACTTTTAACGTTCCTAACATAGTTTTGCCTTATGAGTGGCTTTAAAATTAATTCAAAATTGGCATGTCTCGCAAAACGACATGTGTTGCGTTCACTTTCTTTTGGAGGGACAACCCAAAATGGTTTTAATTTTATGAATGTTACATATCCTACTTCTACATCAAATTTCTCTACAAATTTTTTATGGAGATTCTTGAGTGAGTCCCTAAGGAACCGTCGCTGTTTTTGAACTTTACGTCTGGTGATGTACTGTTTCTTGCCAGGCGTCATTACAGAAACCTCGTCGTCTTCAAAAAATTTTATAACTGAGGATTTTAACTTAACAAATTTACTGAAACGTTTCAATTTTGACCCTATTGACATTTCTGTGCATCCATATTTTTTTCACAAGTGATAAGTCAAAATTCTTCTTCTCTGAAGCTCTTTCTCCATGCCATATTTTTTACAGACTATGCCTCCCACCGACTTTGCAAAATTTCTCTTATCGACTAAAGTTTTGCACTTTCTGCTATTTTCTCTGAGTCGCCTCTCCAGAGCTTGCCCAAAAAGAAGCTGGCGTTTACCTTCTCCTTTCCTGGCAGAGATAATTTGTCTGACTACTGTTTGAGGCGAGTTGGTTTGACTGGACTGATCTGACTGATTTTTCCTGACCCTTTCCTGGAGAGCCCTTTGCCAACGTTTTTTGTATTTCTGGCTTGACTTCTCGTAATGACGTACTTGCTGCTCTAGAATTTTAATTCTCCCTAATAACTCATCTCTATTTCTACGAGTTACTTTCTTGCCAAGACTGGGTTTTTGCATTTAGAACATTTGATGAGCACGTGGTGGTTGTCAAGGGGGCTGTGCACTCGCTTACAGAACGTCTACAAACGGGAGTTGGACAAAGTGACATACACGTGCTGTTTGGACTTGAGTTACAGGTGGGTGGGGGAGGAGCCAAAAAAGAAACAATTTCACTGGGACCTACTATTGCACAAACATCAACTGCAGAATAAAAAGGGCCTACTGCAAGTGATTCAGAATTACATTCGTTTAAATTTGAATCATCATTGACAACAGGATCACTCTGGGCTGCCTGTAGTTTCTTCAGTTTTTGTTTAAGTTTCTGCTTCTCCACATTTCACGTTGTGCACATTTTTCCTCATCAGACATCTTATCTATAGTTTTAAGGAGACCTTTTGAAGCTTTTTCTTGATGAGTCTCTTTATCTCTTAACTTCTTCTTAAGCACTTGGTCAGGGTTGAGGGCAAGGTTTTCCCTATACCTCTTTTTTCTCTCCCTTTCCCTCGCTCTTTTCTCGTCCATTACAATTTCCTGCAGATAAACAAAGTTCTATATAAAATTTGAGGCAGTACTTCTATATTAATCGAAGTTTTCAGGTGCAATCAGCTAAGCCCCATTATTGCAAGATATCGTGTGACGTCACGATAAACCCCCCCCCCCTCCTCTTCTTAAGTTGAATCAGACTTCTCCCACCCAGGGTGTGACACAATTCATGAACTGTCCGTTGTGAAAAAAAAACAGTCAAAAAAATGTAAAAATAACCAAACCAAAAGAAAATTGATCATCCACAGGAGGAGAGATCTTTTTTTCACACCAACTCACACTTGAGTTAATACCATCAAAGCATGAACAAGAGCTCTAAAAACATTTTCAAGAGGAAAAAGGGGAAAAAAGAACATTAACAAATGCTACCTTTAATCGAAAAGTCTGTGATTTTAAAAATATGGCTATGAGCAATTTGAAATTCCAGTCTGTCATATTAAGCATACAAAACTCTTATGAATTACAAGGCATCTTTACAACCTTCATTGACAAAAAATAAACTAGGCTGCTGCCTGCAACTGATTTTTTGGGACATGATATTTTAAAGCGACTAGACAAAAATTTAGCTGCTAAAAATTTTTCTCCCCAGTGATCGGTCACATATTAAAAAATACAAAGCTAGATAAACAAAAAATCTGGCTCACCTTTTGTGAAATAATCAACAATCAGTGTTGAATCAGTTAGAACATCACAAATACTGCAAACCAGGTGGTTGATAAAGTTGGTCAGCTGAAATAAACAAAATAATACAAATCTCAAAAAAATAGGAATAAAATGTAAGAATATAAAATTAAAGTAGAACAAAAAATGAAGTGAAATAAAAATAGGATGTATAGAAGAAGAGAATTCACTCTTCAAAGGACCAAAATTAAGCTACTCATGTCGAAGCATTTACCAGTGTAGCTACAAACATTACAAATTTCATACCAAACAGTCTCTTCTTCCATACATCCTATTTTTATTTCACTTCATTTTTCTTTCTACTTTATTTTTCTTTCTACTTTAATCTTATATTCTTACATTTTATTCTTTTTTTTTTTAAAGATTTGTATTATTTTGTTGATTTCAGCTGACTAACTTTAACAACCACCTGGTTTGCAGTATTTGTGATGTTCTAAGTGATTCAATGCTGATTGTTGATTATTTCACAAAAGGTGAGCCACATGTTTGAGCTGCAATGCTCAGGGCAGAGGTACTAAAATAGGATGCAGTTTTATGCCCACTAGCATAAAGAGGGTTATTCATAAAGGCGAAAAATGTACCCAGCCCGAAATGTACGAAACTTTGTAGGATGATAGTACTAGTTGAGAGAGGCTTATCCCTAGCTCCGTTTTCGCAGGAACCCCAGGGAAACAGCGTTGCCATTTTTTAAAGTCACAACCTTCAAACATCCATAACTTTCGCAAAAATGCAGTTACAGAGCTCGTATTTATACCAAAAAACGCAAAGAATTACGTTCTATCGACCTATGCCAAAGAAATTTTAATTTCACTCCACTGTTGCCACGTTTCGGCCATTTTTTTAATTTTCGTAATTATTTAAAATCACGTTACCGCCTATAAAAGTGTTTGTAGTTGGTGGGGATTGAATAAAAACCTGTCGAAATTATTGTTCGTTCGATTCCGCATCCATTGATATATTATACTTTTCTGAGAGACTTAGGGAACACAAGTTATAGCGATTTGAAAATTCGGCAACACGCCCGACCCCCGATATTGACGCTCGTTTCGGTACGTTTCGCGACTCCGTGTTAAAGCAAAACGCCTAGACCAAGCAAAATTCGAAAAGTCAGCTCATGTTTTGCACTTTTTTGAAACTTTTACACGAAAATTCGAATTTTCAAATCGCTATAACTCGTGTTCTTTAAGTCTCTCAGAAAAGTATAATATATCAATGGATGCGGAATCAAACGAACAATAATTTCGACAGGTTTTTATTCAATCCCCACCAACTGCAAACACTTTTATAGGCGGTAACGTGATTTTAAATAATTACGAAAATTAAAAAAATGGTCGAAACGTGGCAACAGTGGAGTGAAATTAAAATTTCTTTGGCATAGGTCAATAGAACGAAATTTTGTGCGTTTTTTGGTATAAATACGAGCTCTGCAACTGCATTTTTGCGAAAGAAATGGATGATTGAAGGTTGCGACTATAAAAAATGGCAACGCTGTTCCCCTGGGGCTCCTGCAAAAACGGAGCTAGGGATAAGCCTCTCTCAACTAGTACTATCATCCTACAAAGTTTCGAACATTCCGGGCTGGGTACATTTTTCGGCTATATGAATAACCCTCTTTGACCCAAACCACTTGTTGTTTATTCTGTATGACACTACATAGAGTTTTCTGTCAGAATTCCTCAGCCGATTTTTCTACCAGACCCTAAAAAAACACCCGCTCTCCTGAAAATGATCCTACGGTGGGCTGACAATCAGTACCTGTGAAAGGTCATTAATAAATAAAATATTCAGCTCACCTCTTGTGGTGGGATCAAAACAGGATTTCAGTTGACACTCCTCCTATTCCTTAGACACTCTTTTATTCTACATCAGAAATGCTGCTAACAAGTTGTAAAATGGATTCCAGAAGCTCATGTTTCATTTTCTTGAATACTCTCCAAATTGAATCATACGAATCACTTCTACCTTGTTTCTTAAAAATTCTGAATACCAACTAAATAACACAATGAAGAAAAATTAAAAATACAGTGGAAGAATGTCAAAATTACTGAACAAATGGTAAATAAAACTGCACTACTAAACTAAACTTCCAACTTTCCTTCGCCTGAAGCTACTGTTGAATGTTCATATGATACACTCATCGCCCCATCTTGCCAGTGGATTCACTGATCAACCAGTGACGGTCACATGAGAAAACAAAGAGTTTTCTGTCAGAATTCCTCAGCCGATTTTTCTACCTGACTCTAAAAAAACACCCGCTCTCTTGAAAATGATCCTACTGTAGGCTGACTATCAGTTCCTATTAAAGGTCATTAATAAATAAAATATTCAGCTCACCTTTTGTGGTGGGATCAAAACAGAATTTCAGTTGACACTCCTCCAATTCCTTAGACACTCTTTTATTCTACATCAGAAATGCTGCTATCAAGTTGTAAAATGGATTCCAGAAGCTCAAGTTTCATTTTCTTGAATACTTTCCAAATTGAATCATACGAATCACTTCTACCTTGTTTCTTAGAAATTCTGCATACCAACAAAATAATACAATTAAGAAAAATTAAAAATACAGAGTAAGAATGTCAAAATTACTGAACAAATGGTAAATAAAACTGCACTACTAAACTAAGCTTCCACCTTTCCTTCGCCTGAAGTTACTGTTGAATGTTCATATGATACACTCATCGCCCCCTCTTGCCAGTGGATTCATTGATCGACCAGTGACGGTCACACAAGAAACCATATTATAATGCATGTCATTGCAATAGCATTCCTACAAAATGCAAGCAATCAAATCGTATCGTAGAAATTAAAAAAGAGATGATATCGGACCGTCCTTTAAGGGTATACTTCAAGATATCGGACAAAAAGTCATAAGTCCGCACTCTACGATACATCTTACTAGAAGCATGCATTGGGTCCTTATTGATGAGACTGTGGGATGAGTTGTGCCATTCGTCTCAACTCATATGGAGTTAATTGCAAACAAATGAGTATGAGGGTATAGCAGGTCCATAACAAAAGCCCCATCATGTATGTGTCACTGTGTCAGGAACTTCAATTGTTTCCTGATAATTATCTGAATGTTCTTCTAACTGATGAAAATTCTCTACCAAAGGATGATCTCTGTAGAGTTTATATACTCAACTATTCATAGATTATTCTTTACTTCACACAACACTAATAGTTATCTAAACAAAACCTCTGGAAGGCCCTTGTTGATTAGGGAATAAGCTGGTGTTACCACACATTTATTAGTGTGATTAAGTACAGAATTAATGAGAATTGATCACTAAATGAGCCTTGAGCGTCTTATTTTCAACTCAGAGCCACTTTTAGGTATTATTTAATAGGTATGTACTTACGAGTTCCTTTGAATCAGATCACAGACAGTCAGACAAGCCGGACATAGAACCATCTCAGAATGAGCTCATCACAGAATGTTGCTCCTGAGCCGTTCTGCGCTCAGAATGAGCGCAGAACGGGACAGGATGGAAATAAGCATTATTTTAAGCCTTTCTTAATATTTAAGATAAATATGATGCTTATGACACATAATGTTTGGCTGGCCCAACCTCAATAATCATAGAAATATAAGGTTTTTGTGAATTGACACTTGGAAGGTATTTTAATAGCTGATACAAATGCTTGACGAGCTACTACTTACCGTGGTTCACACTTGGTTTGGCAGCTTTTTTTCGCCTTTAAAGACACGAAACTTCACATTTCTTATTTTTTTAGCTAACTACAATATGTAAACAACCTTATCACAACAAAAACAGCTGGTATTGACGAAAGCGCTGAGCAGCGGAAATTATTCAAAACTCGTGACAGCGCTGCCACGTCTCACGCAGCGTTGCTAGGGACAGCTATTTAAACGCGAGAGAAAATTTTTGTGAATAGTAAAACATGTTTTTAACTATTTTTTCTAAAATTCTAAAGCATTACCTTTCATCTCCGATAAAATTTTTCCAAGCAATCCCTCTAGTTATGCTGCAATATCGTTTTAAAGTCAAGAACCGAGCATGGGAGACACGTAAATTTGGGACAAATGAAGGCAATTCGCACATTCAAAATTCTCCTAAATTTTTATTTTGGTCCAAATAAAGTAGAAAATAGCATGTAATAGTCAACAATAGTGTGGAAAATGAGAAAAAAATTTGATCTGCCCATGATTCTCACATTATGGCGATGAAAACAGATCGGGACCCCAGATTAGACGCTTATTTAAATTCACCCACCTATCATGCACAATATCATTTTCAACCCCTATTATTTCAAGCACTTTTTCATTACAAATGAACTCTCCTCTCGAAGTCCCCACACGTCCACTTAAAGTTCATTTCAGTATCCCCCAGGATTCTCTCAGATCTATTTTTCTACTCTCAAACCGTATTCCTAACGGACAATAATGAGATATGTGCATGTTCTCACCTTTCAGGTGACTCAAGGCAGAGCAGTAATTTGTGGATGCCTGTAAGATATCATCTTCTCTTTATCAATTACACTGGTCAGCATGGGTTCTGTCCTTCGAACCAAACCAATTTTTTCGATTCCTAGGTGCTAAAGAAGCCCGAAAATGGCCATATTAACTTCAGGAGATAATGTGGTAGTTGTCATTTTTATCGAGGTACACAGGTAGAACGGAAGTGGAAGCTTACCCTTGATCACACATTCGCCACTTAGTAGTGGAACTTCAGATAATTGTTACGATGGCCATTTCGGAGTACTTAATCCTCCATCATCAGGTGTTGTTTGCTCCAGACTTAAGGATGAAAATGTCTCAGATTAGTCACATGGTGACACGTCATCTCCCGAAACCGAAATACGAAAAAAACTAAAAACTAAGAAACTAAAACCGAAAATTTAGCAGAATCGAACTAAAACGAAACAACAACCGAGGAAAATGAACGGAAAAAACGACGGTTATTACGTATCACTGTCAATCCTGATCAGGTTGCTCGGTGGAGCGGTATCGTAACTACCGCATCAGGGAGGGGGGGACAACCAGCCACCTTACTCTCAGTTTGGGTGTTGAGCAAACGATGGTCCATGTGCTTATCAATCTCGAGCTGTTCGTAGAAATTCAACAATTTGCCTTTACTGCATTTTTTAAGCAGTTTTGCCTGGCATTTGTCACCGTCTTGTTTGGTGTCAATGAGGTGGTCTGTTAAAGACGAACTTCCGTATACTCCACGGTTGGCGGCGCTGACGTGTTCCTTCAGCCTTATTTTTACGTTCCTGGAACTTCGTCCCACGTACCTTTTTCCACAGGAACAATCTATTTTATAGACGCCACTTTCTAGTAGAGGGTCTCTCTCGACCAATTTCGCGTTGTTCAGGATTCTTCCTAAGTTGGGACGGTTGTTAAATGTAATACGCATTTTAGGGTCGTTGTTCACCGTTTTTCTAAGTGTTTCCGAGATTTTTGGCACGTAAGGGATGGAGACCCATTTATCGTCCCTTCTCCCCTTGTCTGCTTTACCAAAAAGTTGTGTAGTTTCTCTTTGAGCTTTTTTATTACGTAGCATTTTTAGTATGACCTTCTTGCTGTAGCCGTTATTCACCGCTATCTGGATTATAGTATCTAGCTCTTTGTTGTATGCTTTTTTGGACATAGGGATAAGTAAAAGTCTGTTGAGCAAGCAGTGGAAGGTTGACATTTTATGTTGGAAACAATGGCTCGAATTGGCTGGAATAATGGCATCGGTGTACGCCTCCTTTCTGTGGATCTCAAAATAAAGTTTTTGATTGAGTAATCTTATTTTCAGGTCTAAGTATATAATCTCTTTGTCCCCAATCTCAATTTTAAAGCTCAGTTTGTTTTTTAATTTGTTAATGTCTGCCAGGAACTGGTGCAATTCTCTGAGGGTGCCTATCCAGATCAGGAAAATATCGTCAACATATCTAAAGTACTTGTATATTCTACGTCAGACATCGAGAGACATTGTCAGAGTCAGGCATCGTCATCGTCAGACATCGTCAGAGTCGAGAGACATAGATGTAGAATATACAAGTACTTTAGATATGTTGACGATATTTTAGAGTAAAATTTACTGCTAGAAAATATATGTCAATAGTTCCTAAACTTGATTTAATTCTTTGAAACAGCAGTTTATTAGCTCCGCCCTTAAAATGTGATTTTTTCGACAATTTTCCTTAGAACCACGAAAAAAAGAGAAAGAAAACCCTAAAAACGTGACCCGAACTGTGTAAAAAGGTGGTAAAATAGTGCTGGGTCCACACTATTTTGAAAAAAAAACCAAAAACTTCAAAAATTTTCAATCAGAGTCAAAAATTGTGAGCTCAAATGGGTGGCCAGTACGGCAATACATAACTGAAGGGGAAGAACGTTCAGCTCAGGCAATTAGCATTAGAATATTAAGTAGAGATCACGGCAAGAGATCTATAATTTTGGGTCTTGTTATAGGCCTCGTCAGTAGATTACTTGCGTCAGTGAGATCAAAAGCCAAAAAGTTCAAAAATTTTCAATCAGAGTCAAAAATTTTGAGGTCTAATGAGTACCTACCAGTATGAAACTTGCCGCACTTCGAACTTGAGCTTTGATGCCGTCTTGGATTTTGCGAGATTTTCAGTTGGGTTCACATGACATGTGTGATTTACTGATGAGGTATAAAAAGACCCAAAATTATAGATCTCTCGCCGAGACCTCTACTTAATATTCTAACGCTAATTGCCTGAGCTGAACGCTCTTCCCCTTCAGTTATGTATTGCCGTACTGGCCACCCATTAGAGCCCACAATTTTTTACTCTGATTGAAAATTTTTGAAGTTTTTGGTTTTTTTTCAAAATCGTGTGGACCCAGCACTATTTTGCCACCTTTTTACACAGTTCGGGTCACGTTTTTAGGGTTTTTTTCTCTTTTTTTCGTGGTTCTAAGGAAAATTGTCGAAAAAATCACATTTTAAGGGCGGAGCTAATAAACTGCTGTTTCACAGAATTAAATCAAGTTTAGGAACTATTGACATATGTTTTCTAGCAGTAAATTTTACTCTCTTTTCAATGAGCATAACAGTTTTTTCTCAGATAATTGTGGCTGGAGGTATGAAGCAAAGTTTCTCCTAAAATCAGCAAAAATGCGCCTTTTTTAAGCTAATTTTTGAAGAAAACGTCAATTTCACGACCAAAAAATCAAGTTAGAAAAAACGAAAGAGAACGATTTCGATAGGAAATTTTATGCTCTGTTTGTTGGTTTTTTTGGTTTTTTCGTGAGATGAACCGTTGAGGAGATATTTGCAAAAATCTAATCGTGGGTTTTCTTAATTTTGAAAAATTGAAAATGGTGGCGCCCTGAGGACCAGCCAATTCTCCTGAAGTTAATGGATGGATGTCAGCTAATGAGAGAAAACATGGGAAAGACGTGTAACTGGTTGCTCAAAACTTTCAATTATAATATTTTCTCTCTAGAAGCAGGTCACACCAACCATGAAAAAATTCCTCAGGAAATTTGAATAACTCTAAACCTTTTTTTCAACGTGCTGAACAGTGAAAATGTCAGTTTTGTGACGTGTTACTTGGAGGTTACCAATGTATCAAATCGTTATATAAATGAACCAGGACCTTTTGCGAGCTTTGTCTATTTTGTTTTAAGTCTTGAATGTATATTGTTTGATATAATATGCATTGAAACACTAGAAAACTATATTATTCAATTTAATTTGAGACTTGAAGCGTGTAACTCAATATTATGTCAGTTTGGTGACGCCATGCGTTTTAGTTTGTGGCCACTTAAGATATTGCGCTTGTGTGCGGATTAAGGCATGGCTGAATGCGGAAAAGGAGAACAAACAGACGTGCACTTGATAAGTCCACATATTTCTTCCAATTTCTGTATAATTTCAGTTTTTTCCATGGTTCTTGGAGTGTCTCACTTATTCAATGTCAGTTTGGTGACGTTGTTTTCCATCAAAACTTTTGGTGGAACGTGCAAGGAATATGGGAGCAAATATTTTTTTCTTACATCTACAGTTGGCCTCTCGACCTAACCTCAATGATTAGTTTGATTTTGTTACTGTAAATTGGCAGAAACAATTAATAGGTAACAGCAAAATGTCAGTTTGGTGACGTCACGAAACCTGACGTGTCCAAACCAAACTGATATGTTAGGCTCGGTAAAGAAAAGTAATCGTATAGATATTGCGATGCACGTAATTAAATCCCATAGTATGGAGCTCTTAGACAACAGAAAAGTAGTTTATAGCTTGATATGGCCAAATCACTTTTTAACTTTTTTTCAGAACCATTTTCTCCCATTAGCTGAAATCCACCCCAATATGGCCATTTTCGGGCTTCTGTAGCACCTAAAAAAAAAAAAAAAAAAAAAAAAAAAAAAAAAAAAAAAAAAAAAAATTGGTTTGGTTCGAAGGACAAACCAAAACCCGAAATTTGTTGTGCTGTGTTATAGTTACTACAAGGGGGACGGTGACTTAGTGGTATGGACAGCAGGGCGTTGTAACTTAGCTAAAGGGCAAGATGATTAAGCTTGGAGAGCAGTAGACTTTTGGATGAAAAGACTACCTACGGGAAATAGATTTGTGTCTCATGGAAGAAATGATAGGAAAGACTGTAATAACACATGGCTTGAAGGGAAGGTTAGTATAGGTGTCGTTAGCTAAGTTGGCGGTTGTTTACTTTTGGTTTGCAAGCGCCTACGACGAATTTGGGCCTCTGCACAAAGCGGTGTCTGCTACTATCCACCTTGAAAACATCCGTCTTATGATTGTATCGTAAAAAAAACCACTTATCAGTTATGATTTGCGACTTTTTTGTGTGGGATGTATTGTGATTTCTGTCCCAAAAATGAAAGTGTTACACAGTTTGAAAGTATTAAAATAACTTATCTACGCTTGTGTTCTTGCTTCTGCGAGAGTCGGGTGTTTTCATGTGGATAGTATTGACGCAAAAACGCTCCCGAACCGAAAGTAAACAACCGTCAACATAGGTACGTAGGTGATGATACCTCTAAGAGAATTTTAGGAGTAAACAAGAGAGTATTTAGGATATTGTAGAGCAAATCTTTAGATACGCTGTTTGTTAAATCGGAAGGATTAGGGTATGGTGACTTCTGGAGTATCAAAGATGAGATCCCTGGTAAACTTAGGAGGCCAGGAATTCAAAAAGCGTTTAAAGCAGTTGTAGAAAAAATGCTTTAGACAGGGTGATTTAAGAATTTTCAAAAGTTCGACAAAAGTTTGCTTTATAAATGGGCTTAGTTAGAGATAGAAGATTAGAAAAAGTAGGGGGTGAAAAATTGAAATATAGGTAACACTGAGAAAGTAGAGGGACTGACTTAGGGAATGATGATGTAAAAAGATTCCGGATATATGTAAAAAGTTTAGTAACGAATCTTTCAAAATCAAGAAACAGAGTAGGGAATGTGAACCTAACATTTGGTATGGTAATGTAAATGGCTTAGTGGGGAATCTTGATGAAGTTAGGTTAGGGACCGGGCAAATGAGGGAAAATCTGATATTTTAGGGATGGGTGAAATTCTCTTGTGACCTGAAAAGGTGACAGATGATGAATTAAAAATCTAGGGATATAAGATTATCAGATCAAATTTAAATTGTGCTCACACAGGAGGTGTGGTAATTCACGTTAGATACATACAGTCTAGATTGTGATTGTGTAGGGACAGAAATAATTGAGAATAAATGCCTCTGGGTGAAATGTAATAATGTACGCAGAGGGGAAGGTGGAGAAAATGAAGTTAGACATGTTGTATATAACTGTAAACACCAATTTAAAAATCTTTTTAGAAAGATACGAAGAAAGTCATGATAAAGAAATTGAGTCAGTTAGGGAAGGCTAAGTAATAGGAGATTTTAATGTAAGATAATATTTGAATAGGGACTGGGGGAAAAAAGAAATAACAGATAATTAGATTTCCAACTTCAGTTCAGAGAGATAAAGATGGATCATGTAGTAGGTAATTGAAAGAGTCAGGGAGATGAATTATTTAGGAGTTTTGTTAACTGACGATTGAGAAGCATACAGGGAAGGTACATAACGAGATACTTCAAGGGAAAAATTACTATGTTATGGAGGGTGGAAGACTTCATTGGGAAAGATTGTAGGAAATTGATTTATAATGCATTAATTGAATCAAAATTGAATCACGGATTGCCATTACCCGGAGAGGCTAACTGCAAAGAAATTAGGGATCTGCAGGCGGGACAGAACTCAGCAATGAGACACTTATTAGGGTGTGACAGAGAAAGCAGGATACGAGATTAAAGCGATTGTGTATGGAAGTGTTAATTGAGGTCAGAATTTGTTTGTTTTTATTTAAAGTTACGAAGAGTTTAATAGGCTTGAAGGACAATGAGATCTTAGTACGGACAAGAGAATGGGTAGGAAAATGAAACTTTAGTATAATGAAATTTAGTAAGTAGATGAAATGCTGTTTTATAAGGGATTGGGAGACTTAATGCTGTTCGGTTGTGAGAAATGGGAAGACTTGCAACCAAATGGGTTTAGGAAAGTCTGTGGAAGGAATTCAAAATTCCAAAGAGGTAACTGGGGGGGGGGGGTGAACTCTTATGGAGGTGTTATAGGTGGAAGGTATTTGATTTGTATTGTTTCAGTATTAGGGACCGTAGTTTTAGGTGAACAAAACTACTTGTAGGGACAGGCGCATAAGATGATACAGATAGATGCAGGGGTGCAGAAACTGCCGTATCACTGTCCTGTTAAATGGGGGAACCCTTTGAGAACGGGGAAGTTTTATTTATTTATTTTTTTTTTAAAGTTGAAGTAAAAAATATTCAATTGCGCTGTTTTTGAGGGAACAAAACTGTCGATCGAGTTACTTTATGTTTCGGGCAAAATTCTACTAAAACTAACAAATGGGGGAACCTACATTTATTTTGAGGGAACCCTTGGAAGTTTCTTTGCCTTTGGATGGATGGAATTAGCGCTTAAGGGTTACCTGAAGTAAGGAAGGGAAAAAAAACCAACAGTTAACCTTTGCCAAAAGCTTCAGGAAATGAAACATACTAATGTAGTTTACCGCTCAATGAAATACTGTGTGAAGTTTGACTGTGTTGTATTCAGTCGGTATAAGATCTTTAATTTGTTTACCTGGCTTAACATGAAAGAGACCTTCATCGCAGCAATTTGACACTGATGCTCATCCATGCGTGACCAATAAGTATTATGCCATGGCTTAAGATCAAAGTGCACTTCAACACTCCATAAATGATTATCTGTTATCTTTAGCTTTTTCAGCTCCCGTTTGGAACAATGTGTCTAGTGTTCTCGCTGGTATGCACATAATCTTTATTTACAGTAATGAATGATGGATCCACATACCAGATTGTCAGAGCTTCGGAGTGCTTGAAATAACCTGCAAATAGTTCGACCTTCCTAGACTTTTAGAATTAATAACCTACGTTTCTTGTTTTTCGCTCCATTACCAAAGTGAAAGCTTGTTCTAATATTAATGAAAACTCGTGACTGGGCAAATCTCAAGTTTCTCCAGTGTGTTAACAAGCTTTTCCATTTTTTCTAGAACTCAGGAGCTCTGTAGAACATTTGAGGCCGAAGATGATCTTATGATATCTGTCGTGACTACACTGCCATCACGCACAATGACGGATGTTGCCAGAGAAACATCGGAAATAAACTCGGAAAATGTATCGCCACACAGGTATGGTCTCATTTGGGTTACATTTTACTTAGGGGGTCCTATCGTTTGAGAACAAGGCGGAACATTTTCAGGAGCATGGGAGGGCCGGGGTGGGGGGGGGGCAAAATTACTTTGATCCAAAAACCATTCAGTGCGCCATGAAGTACTGCTAATTGTAAGCTTTCGCCTATAAATGAGGGCTCTAGCCAAAAAATTGAATTGGCAGAGAACTCTTAAATTAAGACAGTCGTTTTCCACCGAACCCTTCGGCATAACTCCAGTAAACTTCAAAAAAAAAATCCTTTGATATCGTAGGTTTCAAAGTGATGCCCATTTGTATCCTTTCTGTACCATTTCTATTTTTTTCTTCTTCTTTTTATTATTACTTTTAAATTTATTTGATTTAATCTATTGTTATTTCATTAAATACTTTTTTTTCAATAAAGATAAAAATTAATAAAAGTACAACTGAGTAGTACCTTATTCACCTAAAGTTGGGATGAACTGACATAGGGTGTAAGTCCTGCGTGTAAAGCACAAGAACTTTAACTATCTTAATGTAGAATTATTTACAGGATTGAAAGAATAGGTCGAGCCTGGGAGAGGCCAATTCCCATGCCCTTTTCTTTGTTAAGCGATGTATTTCTTTACAATTGTCTAACAGCGCCACCACATCGGAATACGGATGATGATGTAGATGCTCCTCGCATCTGGAGGATATTTTGCAAATATAGTCACCTATCGCTTCTATGCCAAGATCCCTTTGTATATCTTTGTTCTGCTCGTAGGGGGTGGCATTACACAAACGTGGAAGCTGGACATTCCATAGGGTTCGAATGATTTTAATATTGGTGAGTGCAGGGGTGCCCCAGATTTGGCACTCTAAAAACCACACTGGGCCGATTAGCTCTTTGTAAAATTAAAAGTTTGTTGCTCGGGAAAAGGGTGGAATGCTTACCAAGCAACCAATACAGTCTATGAAATTTCCTTTTGCACTCATCTCTGTTTAATTTTATATGATGCTTCCATCAAAGCTCATAGTCCTTAAAAAGGCCTAAATATTTAGCTAGTGTTGATATGAGTAATATGTCATTACTGCTCTGAACAAAGCAGTGAAAAACAACCAATAAAAATATACTTGTGTTCACAAGCATGTCTTTATCCTTGCGCTACTCCTTTACGAAAACCAGGTCTTCTTGAATTCCATCAAAAGCTGTCTTGAGATTTTAGTGCGTGAGGCTGCATTGTCCGCATATTTAGCTGGGATCAAGTCTCTATCAGGTCGAGGGATGTCAGAAGTAAAAATGACATACAGTCGCTAGCATGGAACCCTGCTCAACCCCAGCAAGGCTGGGAAAGCTGTCTGACAAGTCCTGTCTAACCCTAACCTTGAACGTTCTTTTGTGGAACGTTCCATGAAGGAGGTATGACTTTAACAACCTAGCATGGCAGGCAGGCAAGACCCGACCCGACCCGACCCAGCATTAATACTAGTAGTTTATGTGAAACCTGATCAGGTGCCTGAGCAACACTTAAGAACACAGCTGCACAGTATTTTCCCTGTTTTCATATTTTAAAAGCCATTTCTTCTTTTTCTAATTTCAGGATTAAAAAGGCGAAAAGAGTAAGATTTTTGTGCAATGGAGACAAATTTTGTAAAGGAATTATGATACCCATCAATTCTGTCAGATACAGATCATTTGATAGTTTACTAACAGACCTGACCCGGATTTTTTCCGAAAATGTGAATTTGCCATGTGGGGTTAGAACTATCTTTTCAATGGATGGACAACGCATTTGCGACCTGAGCCAACTGCACGATGGGAAACTGTATGTTTGCTCAAGCAGTGGGGACGGTTTCAAAAAAGTTGATTACCTGTCATCCAACAGCTTACCTCGGATTAAGAGAGAAAGATCTTTCAGTAAGCTACAAAACAATAACAATAATCAAAATATTAATTCCTTATACAAATACACCAACAACTGCTCCATACGACCACGCATTGTTATCTTGGTACGCAACGGCAATCGACCGCGAAAAATAATTCGTCTTCTCCTTAACAAACGTAACGCCCCATCTTTTGAGCACGCACTTTCAACCATTACCGAAGCTGTCAAACTAGATACAGGAGCTGTGCGGAAAGTTTACACGATGAATGGTGTTCAAGTAAGTTCTCTCTTTCTTTCAGTTCTGTTTTCAGATATTGCATATAAGTGCATTTGATAAGCCTGTTTCATTCTGTTCCCTCTAGGTAAGCATGCACTCCTGCACATTCCATTTGGATGGAGTCAAGCAAAACAGTTACATCTACATTGTGATTTTTCAAAATCTAATCCCTTCTTTTGATTTTTAGAAGGAAACCAAAGTTTGGTGGATATAACCTTCACAAGGACAAGAAAAATTGCAAGAATTTACAAGTGGGGATGTTGGTTGGTTTCTCTCCTAAAATTCAACTAAATGATGATACTTTGGAACTTCACTATGTGGATGTGGTTGTTTTGATTAAATCCATTCTTCTAATGTATAACTAGAAAATGCGCAAGAAAATGAGTTTTCTCATGTCAAAGAGATTGAGTGGTTTTTTTAATTTTGTCCAAGTGCCAGGGTTGCAAATTGTTGTAGACTGATTGGTCGCAACTAAATAGTGGAAGTGCTCAAAAAATTATGGAGGCAGAGAGAAATGTGTTGTTTTTTTTGTTCAAAGGTTTTCAGATTTCAACTCTTGTGAATTAATACGATTTTGGCACATATCCTAAAACCATCCAAAAATTTTATATTTTGATCAGCTTGCTGTGCCATTCTCTTTGCAAAAACCCAACGCGTTACTGGCATAAAATTGCTGAGGCTCAGAACAATTTGTTCCCCTACAGAACAATTTGTACCCCTGCAAAGCAAGCGCTTCCATGTGCTTATTTTTAAGAGGTGAAAGTGTTGCTTTTCAAGAGTGCAGTAATTTATCATATGCTCCCTCTAATTTTTACTATAACCTCCTAAGATCTGATGATTTCACAATTTTTATTGTGCTTCAGTCCTGAGCCAATTTTAACTTTTCGCATTTTTACTTTCCACATTGTCAACAATCGCAGCAAAATTAATCTCCCTTTTGCAGCGTCAAATAGAACATTACAGCTTGCCTTTAATATTCAATGTTGTCAGTGTAGCGCTCTGGAGACTCAAAATAGTACTTTAAATAGCAAGTTGTTTTGCCACTGGGTCTTTAATTTTACTAAAATAAATGGGAAGACATCTTAGCTTGGGGACTTAGAAGGGTAATCCATCCTGTCTACTATAGTATCCATACATGTAAAGTAGTGTCGCTGATGATGAAAGGTAGCACATTCTCAATGTGGATCTGGATTTTTAAGAAAATCTCGTATGTAAGTGAGTTAAAACTTATGCTTTTCAACTTTTTACATTTTGACGAACGAAATTGTGTGGTGGTTTAAACTCCTGTTCTCACACCGATTTAAACTTAAGCAGATATTTTCTTTAAAATTGCTCTTTGACCTGTATTCAGAGCCCCTAGGGTAAACTCATTCATAATGCAATTACTGAGGTTAGTGTGAGAGGGTGTGGATATAATTACAAAAAAGAAAGATGTCAAGTTTTCATTGCTTTCCTTCACAGTGAAGATTTTTTTATTATTATTTTTAGTGTAAAATTTTTAATAATCTATCTATTTGTGTTGTAACCTTGATTGGACCCATGTCCTTGTTTACCTCATGAACTGAGGCGAAATTCATGTAGGTATTTTATTGTGGTGTAATAAGTGCTCGCTGACAGGATCTCTTATTGTTCATAGCTGTCACACCTGGAAGAGTTTTTTGGAGATGAGGATGTATTTATTGTTTATGGATCAGAAAGACTGTACAATGATGACTTTGAATTAGATTCAGAGGGTAAGTTGCCCTGATGTGTCGTAATTTCTTTTAAAAAACTGCTAAATCAACTTCTGCCTGCCTATTTAAATGTCCATCCCATTAAATAAAAAATATATTAATCGAACTTTGCATTCCTTTGGATTGTTGATTTACTCAATGTCAGATACCAGGAGCGAATTCTAGATCAGAGCTAACTACAGGGTGTCCCAGACCACCCGTACCAGGCTTTTTTCTCGGTTGGTGTAGGTCTCACGAAGTCGAGGACCGCGGGGTTGAAAAGAGAATCGACCCCAAGGAATTCAAATTTCATGGTCCCGAAACCCCCCCTCCCCCCCAGCCGCCCTTGGGGGGTTAAGATCCCAAAAGTCGGGGTTCTCGATAGAATTGTGATTCGATTGCATTAAAATTGAAAAGTATGGAAAATTTCTCGTGAAATGGACTCCTGAAAATCCAAAATCGGACCACTTTTCGCCCAAAAATGATCTCTTAAAGAGGGGGACAGTGGCCCTCTTCAAAAATTCCCATTGGTCAAAAATTGACGTACGTTCTCTGGAAAAAGTTGGTTTTCCAGGTAATCGACTCCCAGGAATCTTATTTTCATGGTCCCGAAGCCCTACTAGCCTCCTTTTGGGGGTAAACGGGGGAGCACAATTTCGAAAGTTGGGGGAAATCGTGACTCCCCAGTTTACCCGCAAAGGGCAGCTAGGCGGGCTTCGGGACCATGAAAATCCGATTCATTTGAGTCAATTACCTGATCAACCATCCTTGCTTGGAGAATGTGCGTCAATTTTTGACCAAAAGAGAAATGATTGAGGGGTTTGCTGTCCCTCTCTTTAAGGGATCACTTTTGGGCGTAAAGTGATCCGATTGTTGGATTTTTAGGGGTCGATTTCACGTGAAATTTTCCGCACTTTTCAATTCTAATAAAATCGAATGGAAATTCGATCGAGAACCCTGAGCTTTTGGATCGTGAGCCCCCCCCCCTNCCTCCTCCAGGGGGGGGGGGGGGCTGAGTGGGTTTCGATACCATGAAATTCGGATTCTTTGGGGTCAATTCCCTTTTCAAGCCTGCGGTCCCTGACTTCGTCCGACCTAAATCAACAGAGAAAAAGGCCTGATACACGTGCTCTGGGACACCCTGTATGTATGAACATTAAAATGAATCGTAAAGGCTGATGACTCATTTTGGGACGCAACATTTGGTAGTAAAAAGTTATTTCGTTTACACTGACGCACATTTAGCTTCAGCGCTGCAATATTTTAGCAGTCAAGAGCATTGCTTACTGTTTGATAGATCTTGTTTTTGATCTGTGTTGTCTCATAATAATTTGTAATCCTCTTGGTGATCGTTTTGTTCCGACTTTCGTTTAACTTTGCATGTAACTATTTCTTGAACGGTGACTATCCATCACATGTTTCATAATATGCAAGTGAGCATACAGGGTGTTAGAAAAGTCCCCTCCCCCCCATCTAACTTTTTACCTAATTGAGATAGAGATTTGAAACTCGGAGGATGTTCTTAGGTCAAAGGGAGCTACTTTTTTGGCCACCCTAAAATTTTTGGGTGGTAACGGACCCCAACTTTTTTTTTTTCAAATAGGAAGACCCGCTTTGTGATACCTCGTTCGAAAGAACATAAAAAAAGAAATTTTTTCGCGCAAACCCGAAGTCATTATCTTAAGCCGTTTCAAAATGGCGGCCGGTTAAAGTTCAAATGGCCGAAAATTGGCATCTCGGCTATTTGCATATGGACTTGTTTGAAACTCGGTCTCTGGGGGTATTTTCGCATGAGAAAAACGAATTTGACGTTACAACTCAAGTTTGTCACTTTTTGGCCATTTTGGACCTTATCCGGCCGCCATCTTGAAAAATTAGGGTTTTTTTTTAAAAATCTAACGTCAAATTCGTTTTTCTCGTGTAAATACCCCCAGACACAGAGTTTCAAACAAGTCCATGTGCAAATAGCCGAGATGCCAATTTTCGGCCATTTGAACTTCAACCGGCCGCCATTTTGAAATGGCTTAAGATAATGACTTCGGGTTTGCGCGAAAAAATTTCTTTTTTTATGTTCTTTCGAACGAGGTATCACAAAGGGGGTCTTCCCATTTGAAAAAAAAAATTTGGGGTCCGTTACTCCCCAAAGGGGGGCCCCAAAAAATTTAGGGGGGCCAAAAAGTAGCTCATGTTTACGTAGGAACATCCTCCAAGTTTCAAATCTCTATCTCAATTAGATAAAAAGTTAGATGGGGGGAGGGGACTTTTCTAACACCCTGTATGAAGTTGCGTGCAATCAATTAAAGCGAAGAGGGAGAAAAAAAGAAGGGGAAAAACAGTAAGGTAATAAAAAACAGTAATACTAAGGAAAAAAGTTATTCTGAACACTGAGAAAGCTATGTAGTGTTCATTTGATAAAAATTATTCAATATAATATAGAATCATCATCTATCATATAATATAGTCCAGTACTAATAGATATCAATAGGGGGTTGTGAATGCAAGGAACATGTTACGGGAGGTTAAAGATGATTCTTATCATTTGTGCTTTTGGTCGCTGAATTGGAATGTGATGCTATCCACCAAATTCGCTCTGTGCGAAACTTTTTTCTCCGTGGAAAAAAAAATTTCCAGAAAAGTTGGAGAACTGCCGGCTCTTGCCAAAAAAGAGCAGTTGGTTCGGCCGTCGAAGTGAGTTTGGAATGGAAGCTTATACTGACTTAAGCTCAGAGAAAAATTTCCAGATAAGCGTAGGAACGGTTTCCGAGTACTGGGTTGGGGGGGGGGCAATGGGACCGAAATCCCATCTAATATTTGCCGTTTTCTTGTTGAATTGATGTTGCCATGAGCTTCTGGTCATTTTGTAATTATGCTCAGCACATCGATACTTCATTATTTGTACACATATAATTGAAATTTTACTTTGAAGAGGCGATGAATCGATTCTTTGTATTGATTTTACACTGAACATTGGTGGTTTTCCAGGATTGAAAATTGCCACTATTGATTTATGTAAGAAATAGTAATCCGTTGAAGATCAGAAAAATCAGTACAAAGAATTGATCATCGACTCCCCAACGTAAACTTTCAATTATACGTGTAAAAGTAATGAAGGCTCAATATGCTGAACACATTTCCAAAACGACCAGAAGCCCATGATAACATCAATTCAACAAGAAAACGGCAAATATTTGATGGGATTTTGGTCCCATTGTTTCCTCCCCTCCCCTAACCCGGCAAGTTGAAAACTGTTCCTACGCTTATCTTTAACTTTTTCTCTGAGCTTTAGGTCATTATAAGCTTCCATTTCAAACTCCGTTTGACAGCCGAAGCGACTGCTCCAAAAGCCGGTCATTTTTGGAGAGCTTCATGGAAAATATGAGCAATTTTCAGCTCTGGGGGGTAGTTTTAGGCCTCCAAAATTTACCATATGCCTAAAGTTGATGGTATTAGTGATCAAGTACTTTAAAAAACCATATCTAGGTAACCTATAGTCATCATATCTATGAAGGACATTTCTTTTCAATGATAATAACAGAACTTTATACCGGTAATTTGCCTGTTAGCGCCGATATACATTTAAATCGACTTTGTTTACCAGCAGCTGAACAGGATCGTTTTCTTTTTAGCTTAAATGACTCAGTAGACACTCAACTTCCAGGATCTGAAGAATTTTTTCTTTTGACTCTTCAAAAAAGGACCCCGCACAGATGCACACCTCTTATGGGAAGCTGCACCATGACCAAATGCTAATTCATTTATGTCATTCGATTTTCCTCAAGATGCTGATCAAAAGTTATAATTGCGCCAACTTTCTACGATGCACCGTTTTCGCAAGAAATCAAAGAGAAGATTAAATTATCCGGCGAATATGAATAGAAAAGAACAAAGCATTTGAGGACAGGCCCGATGTAAATAAAGAAAAAATGTAGCGCGCGTCCATCTTCTTATCTGTACCTGCCGACTCTGGGGTTATCTTCCTCCCGCTCTCGTCCGGTTGACATTCCGACTTTCCTTTTCTTATGCTCTTCAAGAATCTGATTTGGATGGTCGAGCAAAGCGGCGTGCGGAATCCGAGATAAGACTGCCGCTGGGTGCGGGAGTTCCCATGGTTTCCTTGTCAACGCACTGCCGCTTGTCAATCGAGTACTGAAATGAGGAATCTTTCTGGCTTTTTATCGCCGAATTATTGAATCTTCTCATAAGTTTTTTGCGAAAACGGTGCATCGTAGAAAGTTGGCGCAATTATAACTTTTGATCAGTATCTTGAGGAGAATCGAATGACATAAATAAATTAGCATTCGGTCATGGTGCAGCTTCCCATATGAGGTGTGCGGGGTCCTTTAAACTTGTTCCAGTAAACCGTTCCGGGAGAAGGTTACAAACGATCGCTGAAATTGCACGATGTGGCCACTTCGGAGTGGAAAAGGGGGCATTTCAAAAGTGTCACGGTAAATTTTGTTAACTCTCTCGTAGATTACTCTCAAAAATTTGTTACGTCCCAAAATTTCAAAGCCGTAATGACATTTAAAAGGGGGAAATTAAAATCGCGAAATGACGGGGAAACGCGTCTTTGCACGCCACGCTCGCAACTTTAGGCTCTTTGCGGCGCCATCCAAAAATTTTTTTTCTCAATTTTTATTTTTTCCCCGTTATTTCCTCATCAAACGGAACCATTTGCTGGATTTCCAAACTTTAAATTTCCGAAAAGTCAACAATAAGGGCAACACAAACCCCCCCCCCCCTCAAAGTGACCACATCGTGCGATTTTGCCGATTTTCCCTAACAATCTCCCCGCATGGTGTGTCCTTTTTCTACCTTTAAATTGTTGCTATGGCTTTGAAATTTTCTGAAGTAGCACATTTTGTAGAGAACCGAACGAGAAAAATAACAAAATTTACCGCGCCTTTTTTAAAGTGCCCCCTTTTCCCCTCGGAAGTGGGCACATCGTGCGATTTCGGCGATTGTTCGTAACACTCACCCGGTACTGTTTTTTTTTTTCTCAATTTTTATTTTTCTTCGTT